CATATATTTACGATTTAAATTTTTATATTAGTTTTTTATTTTTATTTTTTGAATTTATAATATTCTTAAACAAATCCATTTTCAAATTTAAATAAACAATTTTTCTTAACGATGTTATTGAAATAAATGTTATTAAAATTATTTTAATGTACATTTAAATCATTAAATGAACGATACACAAACTATATTTTAAGAAAGTAATAAAAGTTACCTCTTTCTGGCATTCTATGGGTAATTCTAAATGACGTTATAAATCTAATTTACACAAATAAATAATAAAGTGTCTCTCAAAGTATGTGTTATTAAAATGTGCAATAATATTCTTGAGCGAAGAGGGAAAGTAATTTTAAAATATTTGTGCAAAATGTGAAACGTATTTGAAGAAAAGAATCCCCACTGAAAAAAACATCAAAATGTGTRTAACAATAAACGTTCCTTACACAAATTCCGAATAATCAAGAATTATTTTACGCTAATATTCATTGGCATATTTAGTATTATATAGAAATTTATTTATATAGTGTAGAGAATGACGTAAGGTTTTGTATAATCCAGATGTTCATTTGAAGCCTTAGTATTCATAATGCTTAAGTCTGTGTGGGAAATTCACAAGTGATGTTTATTCCGAAATGACATTTATTGAACGTTTTGATTGGCGTCTCAAATGTAAAAAGGAATTTAAATTTTAGACAGGCAATTATAATACTATTAAACGTGCTTTATTTCAAAAATCATTAGACGATTAATTATTTTATATTTCGTTGCTTAAGTGTTTCCCAAAATGTTTGTAAAAATAAATCGTTTTTATCGGAGAAAAAATATTCGTAAAAATTATAACAAGATATGGTATTGTGTACACAGAAGACAGGACGATTTCTTATAATATACACATCCCCYTTTTTTTTTTTTTACTAATGTATTAAAGTCTGGTTTTTAGAATTTTCAAGTACCTTATTTACTTAAACATCATTTTTACAAATTTTTTAACGACATTTAGAAATTTTCCTTTGTCGATAAAAACTTATTTTTTTTCAAATGAAAAACATCTATTGAACTGTGAGTAATTGCTGAACAAAGTGCTCAAATCGTTAAAAAAAGTTAACGTTTATAGAACAGTTTTTTTTTTTTAGCTATTTACAGACATTTGACATTTCTAATTTTTTTAGTTGTAGATACAAATAGTTGTTCRCTCTATCAAAACCCTTGAAAATGTGAAACAAATAAACAAGATTCCCTATACAATTTTATTAAGCTGTTTAAGAATATAAAAACATATCATATTCAAGATTTATTATAAATAAAATATAATCTTACAATTTATAAAAATTTTCCTGGTAGAATAAATATGGCTAAATATATTATTTTTCATATTTCATATTTTATGTAAAACTACTGTTTCATTTTATTTCCCTTAGTATATACAATTTATTAATTCTAAAAATACTCGTTTTAATTTTGATTTTGATGCATCAAAATGCATACACATGCTTTAAAATGTACAAAAATAAAGAATAAAATATTTATGATTAATGAGACCAAAATGTATCAATTAATAAAATAATGTTGTATTATATTCCTTTAAGTAAATACTATAGATAATTCTATATTTCTTTGATGAAGTGCAGAACATCATACTTTTATCTAAATGATTAATGTTTTACTAACGATATAAATGTGCGTAATATAATATTTTGTCCAGAACTCAGGTTGATAAATAATTTGATTACATTTATAATAATTTAAATCATCAGGAATATCGCAATTTATATTTCAATAAATAATAATATTAATTTAATCAGTTGACGAAGTGGAAAGATGAGACAATCCATCACCTTTTTTTTAATCATTCTGTTAACATTTTATTTATATATACGTTTTCTATTCGTTTGAAAATTAATACTTCCAATAAAAAGAATAACGCATTTTTATTGATTGGCTGTGAATATTTTCAATCAGGAAATGGACAAACCACGAAGTAAAGTGTATTTTTTTTATCATACTTTAGGTAAAATAAAAAATATTTTGATTTTGAGTAATAACCATAATAACATAACATAATAGGTAGTAGGTACAAAGCCATTTTAGTTACTACGATTTCTGAATTAAATATTTTTTGTGCTGCCTATACAGAGTGATTCTTTTATCAAATATCACTCATTATTTCAAAAACTATTAACTTATTTAAATTTTTTTTTCAAGATTTTAGACCCATCATGTTCTTGTACTATATAATTTTTAAATATTTGTCACCCTTATGTTTATCAGGTAAGCCACTATCAACTTTTTATTTTGAAATAACAATTTATACTTGGAATTTCATAAGCTTTAGATTTTTTTTCWATGAATTTTCACGTTTAAATTTTAATTTTTCGTTAATCTGTTGACGAGATATAGCTTACCAAAGTTGGGTGGTTTTGGGAGGTGTTTGTGTTTTAATACCTAGTAGGTAGATACCCTAGCAATTAGGATTTTGATGCCTCGGGGTATTATACTTTTGAAATAAATTTATCAAAAATACTGTATTGTAAGTTTAAATTTTGCACCAAAATGTATTTTATAGTACTCATTTAGGGAAGGGTCGTTCACCCCGCTGAAGATGATAGCCAATATTTGCCGCACTAGTCATAATAATATATATTATTATCAATTATAAAGACCATAAGTTAAAGGTGATAAATTAAAGCCCATAGTATAWTAGTGATAATCATTGWRATTTKTACCTATAGAACATATCAGGTACAAAGATTATCACCACTATATCTTGGGTTGGACGATATCGTATTTATTACCATTAACTCTTTGTCTTTATAATAATTGATAAATAATATTAAGTATTATGGACAGTGAAGTAGTGTATTCATTGGGGAGGTTAAAACCATCCAACTTTGGGGGCCTATATCTTGTGTATAAATATAATTGTGAAAAACATTATATAATTATATAGTTTTAGAACAAGATGGATCTAAAATTTT